CGGTCGACTACGTGGGAGTCCAGCGACATAGCCATTACGCTAACTGCTGGTTCCCTCTGGCAAAATATTTTGAAAAATTGTTTTTCTGGTTTAGAATTTGAGCTCCTAGTTTGGAAGATCTTATTTTTATTTTATTTATTTATTTATTTATTTATTTTTTTGGAGAGATTTTTGCTGTACGGTGCATGCACTCGCCGGAAAGACGGAGAGAGACAGAAAGACAGAAAGCGAGAAATCACCCCCCAGGGAGGATGGCCACAATGCAATCCCTTCTTTTCCATTCTATTCTCAGGATCTTGGGCATGCACGTGTGAGCGCCTGGCATAAGTTTAAGCCACCAGATCCGGGACTCAAATGGCGGTTGACTACATGGGAGTCCAGCGACTTAGCCATTACACCGACTGCTGGTCCCAGGTCTGAATTCTAGTCTTTATCCCACTGCTAAGTACTGTGTGACTTTGTGGACCTTCCTCAACTATCTGGGCCTTCAGTTTCTGTAAAACAAAGGTGATAATAGGACCTAGCCCATAAAGTTACTGTAACAGGAATAGGTAGGTTTGGATGGCATTTATCGGGCACTGTTGTGTACTCTGAATATTTGTGTGTCCCCAAAATCCATGCATTGAAATTCAGCCCTCAATGGGATGGCATTGGGAAGTGGGGCCTGGGAGGTAACGGGTCATGAGAGTGGAGCACTCATGGATGGGACTAGGGCCATGGTAAGAAGGGGCCAGAGACCAGCTTGCCTGCTTTCGCCACCTGAGGATAAAGGAGAGCTCAGTCGTCTGCAGTGCAGTCCGCAGGAGGGTCCTCCCGAGAACCCAACCATTCTGCACTCGGAACTTGACTCCCAGCTCCAGAGCTGTGGGAAATGTCTGTTATTCAAGCCATCCCATCGACGGTGATCCGTTACGCCTGCCTGAACTAAGAACGTCCTTATTACGGCTTAGACATTTTCTCACTCCTAACCATCACCCTCAAATCCGTCAAGGTGGGTAAATTAAGTCATACAAATATGCCTCACCTGATGCACAAAGCTGTTTCACTTTGAATGACTGGATCTTTATGAGCGCTTTCATTTTTTTCTGAATCGTCCCTTATGCAAAAATCTTTGCACATCATGGGCCTAGCGGATGGTGGAATAAATGAAAGAATAGCTGTGAATAGTAGGAAATAGAGTGATAAAAATTTTTAAAGGTAATCATTTTCTTGTTTATGCTTGCTGTAGGGCACGTGTGCTCAAAGACAGAGAGAGGGCAGCAGAGTGGGAAAGCACTTCTGGGGAGATGGCCACGCTGCAGTCCCTTCTTGTCCATTTTCTCTCAGGATTTGGGGCATGCACACACATGTACCTGGCATGTCTAGTCAAGCTGCCGGGTCTGGGACTTGAACTGCACGGTTGACCATGTGGGGATCTAGCCCATCCCAACCACCATGATAGTGGTTAGCTGCGGTATTTTTTTAAAAGTAAGAATGACTCATATATTATTATCCTTTGAAAAACTTAGTTGTTTTGGGGGGAGGGACTACTTCCATGATCCAAAAATTCAGGAAATGCAATCTGTCCTGTGGAAAGTCTACAGCCTGTGTTTGCATGTGGATGGCGCTAAGTTCTGTGCGGAAGAAAACAGTTTCATGTTCTCTAACCCAGCATTTCCTACGCCGATTCGATCACAGCAGTTTGTATTGTTGTAATGTGTTCCTGAACAGAGTCAGGGACACACTAGATACTGCCGTGTCCACAGCAAACACGGGATATATTCACCCGAATCCGAATGGGATTTCCTGCGTGGTGCCCGTTGGAAGCCAGGAGGCCAGCAGGTGGCATGGATTCCACAAGGCTGACTGTGTGGTTCAAATCAGACCCAGTGACTTGAAAATCAGGCATGTGTGCGTGCATGTCCAAAATCCAGAGAGGAGAGTGGAGGAGAAGGGCTTGCGGCGTGGCCATCTCCCTCTCCCCTGGGAGGTGATTTCTCACTTTCCTCTCTCTATCTGTCTCTGTCTCTGAAAAGAGACACACCTTATAGCAAAACCTAAAAGAAAAAAAAAAAAAAAGGAATCCCAGGAGGCAAGACTTGCGAATGGCCAACTTATTCATCCTTCAACTGATTTTTGCGGTCGCGTGTAGACCTGGCTTCAAAGCCGGGTGACAAATTGCAGACGACCTGGTGAGCAGCAGCTAGAGCTAGGAGGAACAGGTGCAGTTTGGAGCTAGTGCAGTGACCAACAGTGTGGAAGGCTCTTTCAGCCACGCCCCCTTCTGGGCAGTGCTGGGTGGCTGGGGGCGGGGAAGGGAAGAGGGTGCAGAGGGCAAACCTACCTTGTACCATGTGGCGTCTGTTTCTAGTAAGTGAGAGATAGTCTAACCTCAGGAAGCCGCAACCAGGCCATTACCGAAGCCGAAGTCATAGCTGTTACTTAATTGAGAAAGTAATGTTCTCATTTTTCTTAGGTATGGTTTTTGGTTTTTCCTTATTCTTTCTCCTGCTGGTTTCTCTGCTTAATACATTCCTACTTCGGGGACCAGCAGGTGGCATGGTGATTAAGGTGCTGGACATTCCCACATGACTGATGATGGTTTAAGTCCCGGACCTGGTGACTTGCTTTCTCACTTTCCTTCTCTCTTTCTCTGTCTCTCTCACTGGTCAAATTAAAATAAATGAATTTTAAAAAATTCCTACTTCTTCAGCAGAGAAATGTTGTTATATCGCTGCCACTTGTGTCCAGCTTTAGAGAAAAGTACAGGGCCTGTGGTTTAAGTGAGCTGGATTCCACGCAGTGACTGTGCAGTTCAAATCCCAGTCCCGGTAGCTGGCAACACACGCTAGTACATGTGTGTGCATGCCCCAAGTCTCAAGGGGACAGAGAAATGGGGGAAAGGGATTGCGGTGTGACCACGCCCCATACAGGGTGCTTTCTCCCTTCCCCTCTTGGTCTTTCTGGGAGTGCACACACCCTCCAGCAATAAAAACAAACCAAAACCTGAATCTACCACACAGAAAAAAGCACTCTCAAGATCGTGGTGAAAATCATTTGAGACTTTTCTCACACACGAAGTCACTTCACACAAACACGCCTGTACTGCACTTGTTCTGGGCAATCTCAGACTTCTTTCTGCAATAATAAACACATTGTCTTTGTTAATGGCTGAAAATATTCCATTATGTGGTTATGCCATAGTTTATGTAACCCTCTGACCGCTTTGAAGGGACATTTGGATTGTGTGTAATTTATAATTATTCCAAATTGGGCCTTATACAAACAGCCTGGTGTTCCCAGCCTTCCACGTCTGAGAAATGCTCTGCTTACAGTAAGTTCCTACAGGTGAGCTATCTGCATCAAAGCATCCTTTATTAGATATTTATTGTTTTATTGTACTTAGTTTGAGCTTTTGCTCTAGGGCATGTCTGCACACCAGAGAGAGACAGAGAGGGGTAGGGGTCGGCCACACTGCAATCCTCCATTCTCCTCTGGGGAGTTTGGGCACGCATGCCCACGTAACCAGCATGTTTTTCTTTTCTTAAAAAGAATTATTCCATTTAACTTTATTAATTATTTTATTTTGACCAGAGAGGGAGAGAGAGAAAGTGAGAAAGCAAGCTGTTTGGTCGAGGACTCAAACCATGTTCATGTGGGCGTCCAGTGCCCTTAACCACCATGTCACCTGCCAGCTCCTGACCATCATGTTTTTCAAGCCACCAGGTCTGGGACTCGAACAACACAGTCAGCCAGGCGGGAGTCCATCCACCTTAAGGGCCACAACACCTGCTGGCCCCATGTCACATATCTAATTCCATTTTGCCAAACTGCCTTCTAGAAAGGGTAGATTAAATTACCCTTATCCCAGATGTGCAAGAAATAGCTTCTTCTGACATTTGCAATTTTAAAACCATTTATGAGACTACTCTTGATCTCCGCTTTAATGTATTCAAGGAAAAAAAGATCAGTTCTATTGTGAGAGTGGGTCACTTCAGAGGAGAAAAAAATGCCTGCAACACTCCAAATCAATTAATTTTGTTTCTTCCACATAATGCCAAAAGGTAAATGTGAATATCCCTTTCGGGAAATTAACCAGTGTTTTGAGTAGCATGGAGGTAAAATTTAGGTTCAACACAGTAATATAAACAGCAATGAGAAAAAAATCTTCATCTTTTCCCTCAGTTTTTGGAGGATCTTTAATGAGTCCCTTTAAGAAGCTATGAACTTATTAAAGATTTAATTACTTTTTTGGGGGGCGGGGGGGAGAGGTTTTTGCTATAGGGCTGTGCACTCGCCAGAAAGAAGGAGACAGAGAGAAAGAGAGCGAGAAATCACCGGGGCTGGCCACGCCACAATCCCTTCTCCTCCATTCTCCTCTTGGGATCTTGGACACACACACGCGCCCGGCATGAGTGTAAACCACTGGGTCAGGGACTTGAACCGCAGTCGACTACATGGAAATCCAGTGACATAGCCATTACGTCAACTGCTGGTCCCAATTATTAATATTTTTTAAAGTTTTTGCTCTAGAGCATGTGTGCCCTTGGAGAGAGAGGGGGGTAGGGAGAAGTGAGAAGTCACCCCTCCCCCAATCCCTTCTCTTCCATTCTCAGGATTTTGGGCACACACTCACACACATCTGGTGTGTTTTGCAAACCGTGGAGTCTGGACCTTGAAACGTGGTAGACCATGTGGGAGTCCAGCGCCTTAACTACCATGTCACCTGCTGGCCTCAAAGATTTAACTACTGGGAACCAGCAGTTACGTAGTTGACCGCGGTTCGTGTCCTGGACCCGATGGCTTAGAACTCACACCGGGCGCGTGTGCGTGCGTGCCCAAGATCCTGAGAGGAGAATGGAGGAAAAGGGATTGCGGCGTGACCATCCCCCCTGGGGGGTGATTTCTCACTTTCTGTCTCTATGTCTCTCTCTGTCTGTCTGGCGAGCACATGCGCCCAATAGCGAAAAACCTCTCAAAAAAAAAAAAAAGATTTAACTACTTAATGCACAATAAAGGACTGCTAATTTAGGAGAAAATACCACCTTTCAAATGTCTCCCTTTCGAATTCTTGGAATCACCGACGCATATGTGTAAAGAGTGTGTTTCTCATGGTAGGTTTTCCTCCAGATGGCAGCCTTTTATGCAATGCCCAGTTTCTAGCACATAATAGTTGATTTAAAATACCTAATATCTGGGATCAGCAGATGGTGTCATGGACTCCTTCACATAGTTCACTGTGGTTCGAGTCCTGAACCTGGCAGCTTAAAACTCACGCAGGGGGACCAGCAGTTGGTGTAATGGCTATGTCACTGGACTCCCATGTAGTCGACCCGGTGGCTTAAACTCATGCCGGGCACGTGTGCTTGCCCAAGATCCTGAGAGGAGAATGGAAGAGAAGGAATTGCATGGACATCCCCCCCCGGGGGGTGGGGTGATTTCTCGCTTTCTGTCTCTCTCCCTCTCTCTGTCTTTCTGGTGAGCACACGCACCCTATAGCAAAAACCTCTCCAAGAAAAAAAAAAAAAAACACCCTCACAGGGCATGTGTGCATGCCCAAAATCCCAAGAGGAGTATGGAGAAGGGATTGCGGTGTGGCCATCCTCCCTGGGGATGATTTCTCATTTGCTGTCTCTCTGGTGAGAGCACGCATCCTACAGCAAAAATCTCTCAAAAAAGGGAAAAAGGAAAGAAAAAAGGTAACTGCTATCTACAGTTGAGTACATGACCTATGGCCAAGGGAAGCTGTAAAGCACGTCTTGTCAGTTGGAGTACCCAGCCAGCCAGAGCCACGCGGGCCTTGCTAGGTCATCGCGGTGACAGCACGTGCTTTAAAGAACCGTTTTCTGGGTGTTCCGGTTCTCCGCAAGCAGAGGCAGTAAACTAGTGGACGGTGGACCAGGGCTGCAGTTCCCTCCCGTCACGGTCTATTCATGCCAGCTCTGGCCACGCTGCGTGGCTGGCCAGGCCTCCCGTGGAAGAGGGCTGAGGGGGAGCAGGGTCTGTCTGCCCCACCCCTTTGACCAGCAGCACCACGGCCCACCTGGCTTCTGCCACCTGCCTGGCCCCTGTAGGCATTTTGATCTTGTCACACCTTTCTCATTTAAAATTTGGAACGTGTACATTGGAGATCTTATCTTAGTTGATTCCCTCCACTCAAAGAAACGTTCTGGCTTTCTTTCCCCGATTTTGAAGACCTGGCAGCCCCGGGAGCTTCCTCGCTAGACTGTACTTGGTGCTTTGTCTTCACAAGACGGGCAGGAACTCTCTAGAGAGACCCGTCTCTCGGCAAACTCTCTACTGCAGGTTGATGGCAACCAAAGATCTGGAAGTACTTTCTCCAGGCCTGCGGGGCGGGGGCGGGGCGGGCCACAGAGCAGCGTCTCTCCGGAGGCCACCATGCCTGTCCGACCAGCTCCCAAAAGACGTGGACTTGCAAATATGTATTTTTTTGGAGGGAAAAAAAAAATCTTGATTCTAAGCTGCTCATAAAAAAAAAAAAAAATACTGGCGACTCTATATAATTGGGCATCAAGACACACAGGAATGTTCTGAACGGTTGGCTATCAGAAAAGCAGACGTTTTAGATAAACACGCTGCTGTCACTTACCTCCTGTCTGAATAACGAAGGATAAACGCTAATTCCCCTACCAGTACCTAGGGCCTGTAAACTGGCGTTTTCTCCTCTCGTAGTAGGTGTTCGGTGTCAATGTACTTTTTTTTTTCCTACCAGAATGCTTCTCTTCCCCAAACTATTAATTTTGTTTTTATGAATAATACAGGACGCCCCAGTTATTATTTAGTTTGATTGTATGCTAGCCTCATGCTCTGCATTTTAATTTAAGTGTAACTGCACAGGAAAAATGCAAATCTCTTCTATTCAAATTCAAAAGAAAATAAATGGATTTTTTATGGCCTAAAGGATCTATTCATTACCAAATCATTTATCTTTTCAGGAAGAACAGTTTATATATCCAATATGCTCCTAGTGCTGTCTTTATTTTCTTCCTTTTTTTCCTCCTTTGATAAATACGCTCTTTCAAATCTTCCTTGAATCTCTGCCGATAGGGGCAGCTTATAGCAGGCAGAACGAGAATATAATTAATAGCATTAAACAGTACGCAGAGGTTGCATTGAAAGCTCCAATGTATCACTGGATATTAAACAATTATAATAAACAAACCTAAAGTCTGGATTGTACCCCATGACTATGTTTTAGACCATTGAAGAGTTAAAAAATATACATTTATACTTGGCTTTCTCGAAGCAACGCGACAGAAAGGGATGGGGGAAGTGAGAAGTCTGTCTTTTGAACAGGCTAGCTTTTTTCCAGTCTTGTTACAAATTCCCTCAAGAGCCAGGATGACTCCTGATTTTGCTTCTAACATTATCTGCTATTACAAGTTCGGCATTTTGAATGGCACACTGTACTTTTACTGAACATGGGTTGATATTTCTATCTTGATTCAAGAAACCGGTGTAGAGGGTATTGCCGGTGGGACGGTGTCTGAATATACAAACAGCTGGGGTGTACAAAGCAATTTCCGCTAAATACCTTTCACCAGAGCAGCTTGAATGGCGTCCTCCTGACTTAGCAAGGCCCCTAAGTGAGAAACACTAGTGGCAAGTGTGAGTTTATGGCTTTTTTTTTTTTTAAAGGCACTTGCCGTTCTCTGGCATATTGTACTTTTAAAATCATATGATTGTGTAAAAGTTACCGAGAATGTTGACTTTCCCCTTCATGTTTATGTATTAAACCGGATTTCAGGGCAAATTGAATGGATTTCTTTGTTCTCACTAGATTAAGTGCAGATAGATAATCTGGTTTAGTTATGGCTACATTGTTTAAGTCGTGCTAATTATAGTGCTTACCATACAATCGCAGAGAGGGCTTTTTAAATGTTCATTTAAAGAAGGAGGGAAAAGAAAATCATATGCCAAGCTCAAAAATGTACAGTCATTCTCACCATTCCCCGAAGGCCCATTTAAAGATTGTTTGTCAAAGAATTGTTTACCTTGAAATTCTTAAACACCAGACATGTTTCCACACACACAGCCTGAGTTCGGGCGCTCGTGGTCTGGGGGTCGGGGCAGCGCTGGCTGCAGCAGAGCAGGACAGAGGCGAGGCCGGCTGGCCCTGCTTTTGATCTGCTTCTCGGGAGGGGAGGGAGCAGGCGAGCCTCGGGCCACACACTCAGCCCTGGGGAGAAAGGCTTCCAAAATGAAAGGAAAGCGGTGGTTTTTAAAGAGGCGAGAGGGGAATCCTTTCAGGGGAGAACGAATGAGTGAGCACCAGCGTGCTGGGGCCAGGAGAACCCAGGGAACAGCTGAGTCAAGCGTAAATCAGCGTTTAATGAGGTGCCTTTATTAAGTGCCGAGTGTTTCCTGCGAGGAGAACGGATGGCAGCGGGATGGGAAGGGAACGGCAGAGACGCAGATGTTTACCTAGGCTACTTGCTTCTGGATCCTGGCGTTGGCGCCTCACATCAATCGTCCTCCATTTCGTGATTTATTTGGGAAATTCCTGAGGTGGGGGGCAAAGGGACATGTCAAGGTCTTGGCACCAGGAACTAAAACAAACAGCACGTCGGAATATGTTTAGCAGATGGTAATGCAGAACATGGCGAAGGAGATCGAGGACGACGACGAAGAAATAGCACCGACCAGGCTTGGAGACGTTGGGCTGCTGAGTGCCAGGGGGCAGACTCACTCAGAGAGCGGGTGGCGATTTTTCTCTACGATCTCCATCTCGTTACTGGGGTCCAGGTGACAACCCGGCCCCTCTCCATGAAGGAAAGCGAAGACGAGAAGACATGAGAATCCGAAGGCCCATGCCAAGGCTGGCGGTCTTGCTTCCTGCGGCTCACGCAGCAATGCGGATAGTTAGGTGATGCTTTGAAGAAGCTGGGAATGTGGAAGAGTCGACTTCTGTGGACATTTCCAGGAGTTGGCCGTGACTGAAAGCTACCGGGATTTCACGGAATCATTCGGAATGAAGGTCGACGGCTCAGTGGTTGGGTAAATGGGAAATCCTGAGCAAATTCAACCTCTGCTTAGCGCCTTTGTGAAATGGGCCTAGTAATAATCCATTCCAGGCCACCTTGGGGGTGCAGGGAGAGCAGGCTCACTGCGCACGCTGGTCCTTATGAACTATGAATGTTTAGATCGATCCCCCATAGGCACTGTAATTAGCACGAATTAAACAATGTAGCTGCAAGTAAACTGATTGTGCTTCAAGTCTTTCTGTTGCTTCTGTTCGGTCCTTGGGAAAGCCATGATGCATTTTTGCATAGAAAAACAAAAATACGTCGCAACTTTCCCAAGGACCCAATATTTTGAGGAATTGGCTTCCGTGTTTTTTTTGTTTGTTTGTTTGTTTGTTTGTTTTTCAGAGAGGTTTTTGCTATCGGGCCCATGCGCTCGCCAGAAACAGACCACGCCACAATCCCTTCTCCTCCATTCTCCTCTCGGGATCTTGGGCACGCACACACACCTGAGGTGAGTTTAAGCCACCGGGTCTGGGACTCGATCCGCGGTCGACTACATGGGAGTCCAGTGACATAGCCATTATGCCAACTGCTGGTCCTTGTGTGTTTGTTAATAACTTAAAACTGACCAGCTTGCCCATAAACCCATTACCTGGATAGTGTTCCCACACTTTAGAAAACTGTGTTTGGGGGTCAGCAGGTGGCAGAGTGGTTAGGGTGCTGAACTCCCACATGGCCGAGTATAGTTCGAGGCCTGGACCTGGCGACTTGCTTTCTCACTTTTCCACTCTCTCTGCCTCTCTTTGGTGAGTCCATATCCTATAGCAAAATTAAAATAATAAATACAATCAAACAAATAAATAATGAAAATAAATAGTAATAATAATAAAGGATAAGGAACCTCAGTGTTTAGAAGTTAGACTTGACACCAAAAAAAAAAACCCGCCTTCACAGTTACACAAAAATGGTGTTTCCTTGTAGAAAAATATCTTATGAAAAGGATATAAAAACTTGGTTTTGGAGGAATAAAGCTATCTATATATGCATATATATTTATACATATACATATATATATATATATATACACACACACACTTAATTTGCCAGAGGGCACATGTGCTCACTAGAAAGAAATAGAGAGAAAGTGAGAAACAGAGAGAAATCTCTTCGGTTTCTCCTCCTTTTTCAGGATTTCGGGCATGCTCACACGTGTACCTCAAGCTACCAGGTCTGAGGCTTGAACCGTGCTCTTGTCTATGTGGGATTCAGTCCCCTTAACCATGTCCCTGCTTGACCCAGAACAAGCCCATATTGGAAATAGTGAATAGCTGCTGTTCTTTGTGAGTAGAGAAGAATTCGTCCAAAACTAGGCACCCAGTAATAACAGTAATAACAGCCCTTGTGGGTGAAGTGTCAGCCAGATTCCCAACCTTTCCACTGTATTCCTTCTTGAGAGATAAGTTCTGCTCTTTTTTTTTTTTTTTTTTTTTAGAAATAAGTTCAACTCTTTTTTGTTCTTTTTAGGCTTTTGCATAGGGCACATGCAGTCCTTGGAGTGAGATAGAGAAAGAGAAAACGAGGAATCGCCCCCCAGAGGGCATGGCCATGCTGCAATCTCCTCTCCTCCATACCCCTCTTGGGATTTTGGGCATGCACACTTGGGCACTTGTGTGATTTTCAAGTCGCAGGGTCTGGGATTTGAACCACAGCTAGCCGTGTAGAAATCCAGTGCCTTATCCAACAAACCACCTGCTAGCCCCTGGACTCTTATTTTTACAGTTATATATTCTGGGGACACTAAGAAGGGTAAAAGTATATTAAGAGACAGTGAAGATATCCCGTATCTGCCAAAACACTAACAAATCTAATTCCTTTTAAGCAATTATTTTATTTAGCTTTATTTATTATTGTTATTTTCCAGTTTGATCAGAGAGAGGCAGAGAGAGGGGGAAAGTGAGAAAGCGAGCCACCAGGTCTCTTGAACTGCAGTCTGCCGTGTCTAGCACCTTTAACCACCACGCCACCTGCCGGCCCCAGAACAAATCTAATTTTAGCTGTAGTTTTTAGCTTCTCGCTTCTGAACGGGGATGTGCAGAAAACTGGGAAAGTCCCAGAGCCTCCCAGGGTACGGAGCAGACAGGAAAATGTCTTCGTGTCTCTTCACCCAGACAGGTCAGCTTTTTCAGGTGGTTGTTAACAACCAACTAGCAAACTTTTTTTTTTTTTTTTTTTTTTTTTTTTTAGGTTTTTGCCTAAAAAAAAAGGCTCATGTGCTTGCCAAAGAGAGACAGAGACACTGAGAGAGAAAATGGGAAACTGCCCCCCAGGCGGGCTGGCCACACGCAATCCCTTCTCCTCCTGGGACTTTTGGCACACATGCACATGTGCCTGGCGTGATCCTCAAGGCACCAGGGCCGAGGCCTGGACTTGAACCATGTGGAGTCCAGTACTTTAGCCACCATGCCACCTGCTGGTCCATTAGCAAGATTTCTGAGCAATGACCTACCTGCTCACTGGTGGACCTTGGTGGTCTTTGAGGACGCAAGTGGCATCTTGTCCCCTTCTGGGCCTGTGTACAGCACCGCAATAGCAATCAAACACACACCCGGCAGTCGGGGTGTCGGGTATGGCCGGAAAGGTGCTGCGCTGTGAGGGACATTGTGAAGGCCCAGCGAGGGCTGATTGGCAGACACAGGGCTGCTGTGGAAGGGAGCTGGAGAGAGCCGACAAGTCAGGAGGACTGGTCAGTGCTGTCCCCAGCCAGTGTGGTCGTGAAGACCGTCAATTTTAGATTCGCCAGCCCTAAGATAGAGTCTTGTCTATGATGGCTTACTAGCTGTGTGAACTCGAGCCGGCTAGTTAGGGCGTGGAAGCTTTCGTGTTCTGATCTGTCAAAGAGGTTGATAATGGTACCTGGCTGAGAGGTGACAAAAGGAAGAAATGAAAAAAGATGAATGTACAATACCATCGAGAAAGGATAGTCACTATTTATACAGGCTGACTGTCTCTTACCCCAAATGCTTGGGACCAGAAGTGTTTTGGATTTGGGATTCTTTTTCTTTTTTGAGTCGTAATCGTATACATATTCTTATACGTATTTTGATCATATGCATGATCCTGGGAGTGGGACCCAAGTCTAAATGTGAATTCATTTATGTTTCACATACATTTTTGTTAAAAAAATAATTTTATTTCATTGTATTCTTCACTTTATTATTATTAAAATTTCACCAGGGAGAGAGGGAAAGTGAGAAAGCAAGCCACCATGTCTGGGACTTGAACCATGGTCAGCCACATGGGAGTCCAACACCTTAACCACCACACCACCTGCTGGCCCCTCTTATACAGTTTCGATGAATAGCCTGAAAGGTAATTTTATCCAATAGCTTTGTTTTGCAGTGTTTGACTCTGAGCTACCACATGAGGTCCTGGGTGGAATTTTTACTCGTGACATCATGCTCAGAAAGTTTCAGGTTTTGGAGAATTTTGGATTTCTTTCCCTTATTTTTTCTAGTTTTTGGCTATAGGACATTTGTCCTTGCCGGAGGGAAACAGAGAAAGGAAAATTGAGAAATCATCCCGGGGGGGAGGGCCACACTGCAATCCTTTCTCCTCCATCCTCCTCTTGGAATTTTTAAGCACATGGACACGAATGTCTGCGTGGTTTTCAAGCGGCCAAACCACTTCATCGGCCCTGTGGGATCCAGCTCCCTTCACCGACACCCCACTGGCCAGCCTGCATTTTGTGTTTTGAATGTTTAGGTCAGCGATGCTCAGCCTGTATTGTTATTGTTATCATTATTGTTATTTAACAGTGTTGGAGAGTGTGTCCAGTCGTTGAGTAGGGGGTAGGTTAGGATGCTCACCTCACAGCTTAAGGCTGCAGACTGGTGACCCGAGAGGCCAAATTCCATTTGTAAACATCTGTGCTTGGGTCACGGAGTACGGAAACATTTTCGGAATGATGCAGATTCACCTATGGACTCAGACATTTTCTTGAAAAGGAAGAGAGTCAGGCACGGTAAGGTCCACTTTCCCCACGTGGCAGCAACAGTTAAGAAAACGATGACTCTGGGAGCCAGCAGTTGGCATAACGGCTATGTCGCTGGACTCCCACGTAGTCAACCGCGGTTCGTGTCCCGGACCCGGTGGCTTAAAACTCATGCCAGGTGCGTGTGTGTGCGTGCCCAAGATCCCGAGAGGAGAATGGAGGAGAAGGGATTGCGGCGTGACCATCCCCTCTTGGGGGTGATTTCTCGCTTTCTGTCTATGTCTCTCTCTGTCTGTCTGGCGAGCACACGCGCCCTACAGTGAAAATCTCTCCAAAAAAAAAAAAAAAAAAGAAAACGATGACTCTGAGTCCGCGTGGACTTGCTAGAATCCCTCATCCTTGTGGATCTTCACTGATTCCTTTGTCCCTTGGGTTTCAGACTCTTGGGTTAACTTCTTTCTGTAGCACTTGGATTTAAGGTGAGTGTCATTAGCACAGGGGATGAGAGTGGTGGCCTTTCTGAAATCACTGGGAAGACATTGTAGAGCGGGCTGGGGATTCTTCTTCCCGACCCTCCCTGACACGGAGCAGGGCTTTCCTTTTCCTTTTTTTAAAAATTATTTTATTTCACTTTGTTTATTTTTTTTAAGAAATTATTTTTTATTTAATTTTATTTATTCATTCATTTTATTTTCATTTGACCAGAGAAAGAGAGTGGGAAAGTGAGAAACAAGCCACCAAGTCCAGTATTTGAACCGTGGGTGGCCATGTGGGAGTGTCCAGTGCCTTAACCACCATGCCACCTGCTGGTCCCTTTTTGTTTATTTTTGATTTGACCAGAGAGGGACAAAGCAAGGGAATGAGGAAAAGTGAAAAAGCAAGCCACCAGGTCCAGAACTTGAACCACCATTGGCCATGTGGGGTCCAGCACCCTAACCACCATGCCACCTGCCAGTGGCAAAGGTTTTCAAGCTCTAGCAAGTACCAGAGTTACCTGGAGGGGACCCACCCACAGAGCTTCAGTCGGGCAGTTTAGCTGCAGAGGGGCCTGAGAATCTGCACTCATACCAGCTTCTCAGTGAGGCTGATGTTGCTGTCCTGGGCCCCACATGCCGAGAACTCCTGACCTGGAAATACACGGCTTTGTTAGGCTTTAGTTACCAAAGTAATATTTGCTCTCCATAAAATAAAATACAGACGGTGCTGAAAGCTACACCTGGCAAATGAGAAATCT